AAAGTGTGAGCCAAAATAAATCTTTCCTCCTTTTAAATTGAGTATCTCAGGTATACTGTCACAGGGTAGAAGGAAAACACAATGATACTATTTTCCTCTTATATAAATTGAAATTTGTCATGATAAAAAGATTTTGATTAAATAAGGCCTTACTTGAAGGGATCAATTTGAACATCTCCAATTGCCCATCTTAGAATGCTACACACGTCCTAGGATATTTATCACAGCTGAAAAAGCAAGACTCCCTTCTATTTATATGTATGCATGAAAAAAATTAGTTTATGACATCTAAAATGATAGTGTCTCTGTTGGAATCCACTAAAGTTCTTTCAACAAGGTTTTACTAAAGCAAACATTGTGCTTCTGAAAAATCACATTTTAAAAAGGTCTGAATTTTATAGTATGGGGATTATTTAAAAATTTACCTTTGAGGTATGTATGTATGTATGTATGTATTTTTTGCTAAGGATTGAATCAAGGGGCCTCAAACATGGATTCCACCACTAAGCTATACTCCTAGCCCTATCTTATTTTGCAGCATAATAAATGCCTGGATTTTCTGTTACCCCACTGGTTAACTTTAGTGAATATTAGAATCACCTCTATGCTTTGTGTGACCAGAGATCACTATGCCTACTCTCAGAGTTTCATGTTCCTAGATCTGGAGTAGAGCCTGAAATTTTTGCATTTCTTACAAGTTCCTAGGTAATGCTAATGCTTCTCATCTGGGGAAGATGAGAATCACCAGTTCCAATAATGTAGGACAGATAATATAGTATCTAATCTGCATTGGATATGGGGACAATATTCCAGGTAATACTTCTGTTCTGGCACTACTTTAATTTCTTTCTTATTATAAAACCAGGGTAGAGAGGGCCCAAGAAAAAAAGTAGGGGTTATTTTTTAATAACCAAGGATTTTCTACTTAATTCTTTATAATTCAATCTTTTCCAATATGGGCAATCTCAACTCCAGTAAAATGTAAGCAGAAAACATTAAAAACAAGACCCAAAACTGAAAGTTACTGGAAAATAACATAGCACATATATCCACTACAAACACAAACATACATCATCATCTATCAGATGTGTTCACAAATATTGGCAAGTTTCCACGGAAGGGTCAACATACAGATGTCTACTTATCATCAAAATTTGAATTACTCACAATCTTGGGGCATTTTTAAGAACTGATAGTTCTAAATTGTTTTTATTTCTGTGAAATGAGTTTGCTTTATTTTTATTTATTTCTAGACCAGAAAAAAACACATAATTTTAAATTTTGTTCCTTAGGTAAGAAAAGATTATATCGTGCCAAAAAATAGAGTGATGCTTTAAAAAAAAATGTAAGAAAATGACCTGGTTTTAATGGAATTTTGAATGTTGAGATTTTCTCAAGTTCCACCAAGTTGCCATTTTATGCCATGAAATACAAATGCTAAGAAAAACAAATTAAGAGGGTTGTTTTTGTTTGTTTGGTCATATGCCTCCTACAAAATCTTTTCTCTAAATACATTTGTCAGAAAATATTCTGTGCATTGAATGCTTACTATGTATTAGGTATTCTGCTAAATATTGTTTCATTTCATCTTTTGTTACCACAATGGTTGATATAATCTTCAGTTTACAAATGAAGAAACTAAGGCTGAAATTATTAAATTACTCAAAATGAAACTAGTCAGCAGTAGATTCAGTATTCAAATATGGACTTGTATGACAATGATCAGTTACACCACAAGACCTCTTAATTCATATTGATTCCTATTGGTTAATAATAGGTTCTATTTATTTTTCATGAAGTGCTTAGCACTGTGCTAAATACTTTATACACATTATTTCATTCAGTTCTCTCACCCTTATTTTTTCTTTGCAGTACTGGGGATCAAACCAATATACCATTGAGCTACCTCACCAGCCCTTTGTATTTCGTATTTTGAGACAAGGTCTTGCTATGCCAAGGCTTACCTCTAACTTGTGATCCTTCTGCCTCAGCCTCCTAAGTAGCTGGGATTACATTCACGTCACAAATTTCAAGGAACTTGCTTAAAGATCACACAGAATGGGAGAGCCAGGATTGAACACTGATCTGATTCCACTTATTATCTCCTAGTCTCCTTTTAGGTATTTCTGTATTTTTAACTTGCAAGTACAGAATTAGATTCATACTCTGGCTGTTATTTGCTGAGAATATTATCTCTGATCTTCAAATATTTTAATATTAACTTTATGATTATTACTTTGGCATCCTATACTGGTTCATAGGAAGACTTCATCTAAACATTCCAGTGTTCCACATCATTGCTATCCATTTACATAATATTCTGCTAAATTTAAACCTGAAAGCTAAAATTGAAACCTCAAACAATACTCAGAACTCTAAGTTATATTAGCTAAATGCTGAGCTTTACATCATCTACAGTTTGAAGAAACTTTTGCATCTGTCATTGTTAATGAAATCACTGTATTTATATTAATCATCTAATTACTGAATAGAAACTTGAAACTCTACACCATAGATTTCCTTCAAGGTCATTATGAATAATTAACAAAGAGCAGAGTTAAACAACTTGTACAAACAAACAAAAAATTCTAAGTCTATTCCTTTCTCTCTGTTGAGAAGCCACTAGTCATATGTAGACTAATAGTCCTCTCCATATATACATATATTTATAGCAATAACTATAACTTTTGGCCTCCAGTAAGTATCTAGTTCATTTTACTAGGATTATTAGTATAATCTCTGCTGACTAGAGTACACAATTTGTAATATATCTTAGAAGAATTCTGTAAATTTAAATCCCTATATGTATCAAAAGATTTTTACTTAGTTCTTTTGCAAAAATTTGAATTTAGAGTTGTCCAATCCTTGACTAGTATTATATATTAAGTAATTTCAAATATAAAGAAACAGCTTACAAATATACTTTAGATATTAGAGGTGTAACTCAGTGGTAGAGTGCTTGCCAAGTGCTTGCCAAGTGCTTGCCAACTCTGGGTTCAATCTCCAACAGTGGGGGTAGAAAAAATACACACACACACACACTTGTTCTCTTTTTTACAAAAGGTATGCAAAAAAAGCAAAACACTAGATATAAAAGCACTGCCTTAACTCTTCAGAATTTGAGACTCCTTATTAGACTATGCTATTAATTGCTAGAATAGGTGATAGGGAAATTGAATCTTCCAAACTTGAGAATATAAATTATGAGTTTTGTAAAAATTGTCTTTTAATAAATAAAAGGTGATACAGTGTTCATGACATTTTCTTGCTGCTGTTCACTAAATATGAAAACTTGGATAACAAGAATTTGCTGATCAAATTATTAGGCTATAAAATTCTTAGGGTCAACAAATTAACCTTTCAAGAGATAATTAACAGAGCACTATTTTATAGAGTAAGTAGAAAGTAGAGACAGAAATCCTAAATTGATTCAGATTTGGGGGTTTCAGGAACCAAGCTTTATTATCACATCTTGGATCTACTAGTAATAATCGGAGTATCAGTGAAGGGTAAAAAACAAACAAAAGGCTCCTCCCAGAAAGCATCTTTCCATGACTGTCTCACCTGAGAAGACTCAAATCAAACTATTATAAAACTAATCAGCCCAGCTGCTCCAAGTTGTTTTTACACATCTAATTATAAGCTTCAGCAGAAGTGATAATACATATAAACTCAAAAGTCGAACACTGTTCTCCTAATGCCTCAAGTAGTTTATTGGTAGTTATTATCCACATTTCTATAAATATAAACATTCTAAGTGATCATCACTAGAATGCAGGTACATTTAACATGAAAGCTCCACAGGAGGCTACTTCATTTTGTGTAGAACAAAAATTAAGGTTTCAAAAATTCAATTATGCTGAAAAAAAAAAAAACTAAAACAAATGCTGCTATCAAAGTGCATTTCTTTTGGTGATTTCAGAACAAACAGCTGTTGGCATTACACTTAGGAAATATGCTCATTTGTCAATATATGATTACTTGAACTAAGTCTTTCCTGAAGATAAGAATTAGACAAAGGTCTTTCCTCCTTATATATAAGAGTTTGGTGGTTTTTTTTTTTTTTTTTAACAGAAACAGCATCATTGAATTTTCATAAAACACTTTGCTACTTTCGTCTCATTTTCTATAATCATAATTCTTATCTGCAGTACTTTGCCATTCCTTACTATCATCAGGACTGTATATCTCAGGTAACACTGGTCAGTTGGTAAGCAAAAAAAAAAGAAAAAAGAAAGAAAGAAATTAAAGCTCAGAACATATATTGATATTTTACATATTCATTCCATTACACATCAGGTGTTGTTTATAAAGATTTTACCCCTCCCAAGACACTACAAAAATATGTGAAAAACCACATCTGTTTTCAGCCAGCAAATATTAATAGAACAAATATCTTTTAACCAGAGTATTTTAGAGACCATGTATTATCTACATTCACTAATTGCTTTCTTCATAAATCCATATATCCAAGCATATGCATTTAGGATTAGTCCACATTCCCATATTTACTTTACTATTAAAGTCAAGTAAATTATTCTAGGTTCTTTAAGTGAAAGTGCTTCTGACAACAACCTACTTCTATAATAGCCCCAAATCCCAAAAAAGTTGTTTTAAACCTGTGTAGAAAGATGCATAGTTATTTCTAAGAAAGACTACACACCAAAACATGCTTCATCAAGAAAACTAATCCATGCACTTGAGTATACCTCAAACACCTTATTTTTTATTGAAGTCAGACCAACTTAAACATTGTCTAGAATTAAGAGACAGCATTAAATTATTTGATTCCAGAAACATAAAAAAATCATTTAGCCAAAGTTTAAAAAAGCAAACACTTCCTCCCTGTCCCAGTGTGATCATATAACTGCATAAATATGTGTATATATTAATCTACTTTAAGTATCCATTCACTAGCATTTTATCTTAACATACAAAGCCTTGTATGCAATTTCTTTGCAAAGGCTTCCCCCCAAAAGATATAAGCACAAAACACTAGGTAGACACTCTTCAGAGTTTTATTTTACTAACTTCAGGTCAAACTTCCACAACTATTTTCTGGTCAATTTACTATCCTTGCTTGGCTTCCCAAAATGGTAGTACCGATAGATTTATGGTGTAGGGAGAGGAAACCACTTTAAGAAGCACTGCATTTACTCATCTTCCAAAAGGCAAATAAATTGGGCATCTGATTGTTCAACAAAACAAAGCTTTAATAGCATCCAGGAAGGCAGACACGCAAACCAGACTGTAGACACTCTTCCATTTGTCAAAATCAGACCAGAGAAAACCTATTCCACACAGATATAAAAGGTATTGTTATTCATCTTTTCTTTTTCTGTTGCCGCAACATTTTTCTTCTTTTAATTATCATATCGTGTAGTTTCTCAAGTCCTTCCTTTAGTCCATCTCCTATGATTGCACAGGTAGGCTGCAAATGCCAAGGTGTTGATGAGCTCAGTTCACCCATTGCTAACAATTTTTCAATTTCTGTGAGAGACAGTGAGTTCCTCAGGTCTTGTTTGTTAGCAACTATAAGTACAGGGACTCCTTGATTTTCTGATATCCTAGTTATTTTATGAAGTTCTGTTTTGGCTTCTTCCATTCTTTCAACATCAACAGAGTCCACAACAAACACAATGCCATCTGTGCATCTGGTATATGACTTCCACAGTGGCCTTAATTTCTCCTGACCACCTACATCCCAAAAGTGAAAAGTGACTGTTTTAGAATTTCCCAAGGTTACCTTAATTTTCTCAGTGTTAAATCCTTTGGTAGGTACAGTATTTACAAATTCATTGAACTGCAGCCTGTATAAAACAGTTGTCTTTCCAGCACAGTCCAAACCCAGTATAACAATGTGGAAGGACTGAAATGAAGGGAGGCTGGACAGGATAGAAGTCTGATCTGACAGTCCATTCCCCATTTCCAGTTGCAAATAAGTGTCCCAAATTGTAATGTTTTCTTCTTTCTGCTTTGGAATCTCTTTGGTGATGCAGCTACAAGACTGCTGGGGAGGAAATGAAAAAATTATTCCTGTGAAATAATACATTAAAACGTGTTTTCTCTATTTTAGGTAAAATAAGCGACACGAGGAACTTAATAAAACTTGTTTTAGTAAGCAAATCAGATGTGATATGAAACGTTCACAATCCAACGCAAATCATGGAATAATTGAGATTGGAATTCTGTGTTTCACTTAATTCTGTGGTAACATGTACTTTCCTTTACTCCCCCCCCCCCCCCCCCGTGCTCCTCAAATCTTAGACTTCATTCTGGAAGACAACTCAGTTACCACTATCTAGTCTAACTCGCCGTAACCATAAAAGTGCCCTTTTTGGTGTCAGAAAACTCATAAAAGGTAATTTAGGGATCTAATCCCACATGATTCACAGGATACCCAAGATCACTGTTACAAGCTCAACCCCCCCCCCCCCCCCCCCAAATAAAAACCCCTCTTACCTCCGGAATCGGAGTCTGGGTCCAAACGAGAAACCATTGGCAGGCGTTTCTATGCGGGGGGAACGCACCCCACGTCCGTCCAGTTTAGATCTCCACGCAGCTCTAGCAGTTGCTGCACTAGAAACCTTGGACTCAGACAAGGACCACGCCCACTCCTCACGGCCCACCCATGATCCCAAATCCCATTGGTCACCCGTATCAGGGCAGCCCTGCCACTCCCGCCCCCGAACCCTAATTGGTTAGGGAAACCGTCGCTCCCCGTGAGGCAGAGCAGGGCTCTCTCCTGGTCCACCCGCACCACCTGTTGACCCTAAGTTAGAAAACAAGGCGCTCTAGGAGAAAGCCGAGCGGCCCCTGCAGGGGAGGGGGTGCCTCAGACTGTCAGGTCGCCGTCAGCCCTCTGGCTCCGCCCGCCCCGGCGCACCTGCAGCGCGGCCCACAGGCGTTGCGCCACGGTCCTCACATCCGGGGCCCGCAGTCACCGCCGGCGCCTTAACTCTTTCTCGGCTGGCGGAGGGTGCTCGTTATGGTCGCGCCAACCCCTGTGGCACAAACGATATGACCTGCGGCTCCCGCAAGGGCAGGCCCTCCCTCCCTGCAGCGGCATCCCTTCACCTCACTCCTCGGCAACGGGCCAGCTCTTCCCCCGCTAGGGCGTGGCCACCCGGCTACAGCTCACCTGACTAACCGTCCTTCCCTCGTCCTAACTCTGTGTCTCAGCCGTTTGGGAAGTACGCTGACACCTGTCCCAGGGTGTCAGCAAAGCCTGGACGGTGGCAGGGGACCACAGGCCGCTTCCAGAGGCGCCGGTGGGCGCCGCGCGAAAGGCCGCCCCAACTGTGCTCTGCCGGCTACTCCCCGCGCCGGCCGCGGCCCCGCCCCCTTCCCGCGCGACGCCCAGGCGCTGGCCGTTGGGGGGCGCGCGGGAGCCGGGTCTCCTAGCAACGCCGAAACAGGGTCACTTTTCGAACCCGCCAGTAGCTGGCTGCCCGCAGGGTCGGGTGGGGCTTCCTGACTCGGCTAGCCAGAGCCCTCGCTCACCCAGACATTGCTGTCGCCTCCAGCCAGCTTCAGACAGGCCCCGCCCTGTACCTTCTCTCCTTGTGTCACCCTAGGGCGGCGGCCGTGTGACGCAGCGTCAGAGATTCCAGAGGACACCAGACCGGCAGGCACTTTATGTAACGGGCGGTGAGGCGGTACCCCAGTGGCTGCCCTCCGCGACCTGGTCTGGCGCACTTTCCTTTTCTAAAGCAAATAAGCATTCCCTCCTGCGTAGTTCTTGGCTGTATCCCTGTGGGTTAGAGACAGGTAAAAATCCCGTTTTGCGTTGAGGAATGCACTCTGGAATATAACATGGATGTTTCTAATGACCCAAGAAAAATTAGCGGTGGTGCTGGAACTACTGATAACTTGTCTACTAGTCATTGAATGCGTAATGATTTTCCATTGGACAGTTCTGACTGAATGTAATTGTGTCCTTGATCCATAAATTTGCAAATATTTATTGAACTAGACAGTAGGCACTATACTGTGTACTTGAGGATAGAATAGATTGCAAAATAGACACTGTCTTTGCTCTTGTGGAATATTGGAGTCTTTTGGGGAGAAAAAGAACGAACTAAATTGTCTCATGAATAAATTTAAGAAATGTGACCAGTAGTAATTTCAGAATGCTCGTGACAACAAAGAGGAGTACTAAACTCAAAGTCCTGGGAAAGCTTCTATGAACAAAATTTTTTGGTGGAAGTCACAGGAGACTGTAATTTAAATGAATCTATATGGTGTACTTATTAAAAAATGTAATTTTAAAAATACAGGTTTGAATTTCCCTAAAAACTTTCCTGGCTTTCTCAAGGTCATTATTGCCAGTAATATTTATCTCCTTTATGTCTTGAGTACTGGATTTCTTTTTAATAGCGGAAATAAAACCTAAGGACTAAGCACAATGTACAGTTTGCAGACAGCAACACAATTTTGGAAATAACTAGAAATCTCAAATGGCACATTCTCTTAAGGTATTTATTGAATCCAGTATAAGCTAAGGATTGTCTCATTAGTTATAATTATAGAATCTCATTAGACATTTACAGTAATTAGCAAGAAGGTGATAAAAGGCTTAGTGCAATAACTAGCTTCTTTTTCTTGGGAATTGAACAGTGATACTTGATTAAACTGGAATTATTTGAAAATTCTCCTTAAATTAAGAATATACAGCAAGAAAATTCCACAACACACCTGTTTACAATAGCTTTGAAATCAATTAGGCCCTTTTAGTATTCCTTTTAAAAGTGTGTTTCTACAGTCTTTCCTGGAGCAAAAAAGGATAAGATATGAAAACACAGAACCTCCCACCTTGAAGAAGAATTGCATTTTAATGTACTTTAGGCTTTTAACCAGAACTATGATTGGCAAACTACAGCCTATAGGTTAAATTCAGAAAGATAAGGATAGTTTTTACATGGTTCAAGGGCTGCAAGAGAAAAGAAAGACTAGAATATGCAATAGACACTATCAGTGTCCCCACAAAGCTTAAAATATTTGCTTTCTGTCTCACTATAAAAAAATTGGTACACCTGTTCTATAAGCAATAATAACCACATGAAGACAGCAACAACTGATGTAAAAAGTGATGAGATTTGTGGAATATACCATCTACTTTGTTGCAGTCTTCCTACAGAAGGTTCATTCAGATATTTTATTTAGATGCTATGCCAGAAAAATATTCCCTTTAGGCTGTAGCTTACAAGCTGCTACTGTGCCCCTGGGTGCCTCAGGGACTTTCTAGGTGGTTCTGTGGGATAGTTTAACTTTTTGAGGGAAACACAGTGACATCTGTTGGACCATGTTAACAACTACAACTATTAAATTAGCATCCATCTATTTAATAAATGGAACTTTGGGGTGTTTCTTTTAGCCTGTGACACCATGAAAAAATTACTTAAAACACTGGACACTGTGAATTTCTGCCTCTAGCTACATTTTCCAAACTTGGCTAATAATCAGAATCACATGATATGCTTGTAAATATATAGGTTCCTGGACTCCATTTCAGACCTCCCAAATCAGAATCTTCAGGAGGGGAGACAGTGATCTGCATTTCAAATACCTATTACACTTTTGAGCAAATACTAATCTAAGTTTTCTCCTTTGAAGACTAAATAATTTACATTGTTTCCATATTTTAATTAAATACAGAACCCAGATCAAAACATGCTTGTAGTATTCATCCTCTCTTCCACAAACTGATATTCTGTGATATATTACCAAAAGTACACAGTAGAACTAACTTGTCTTTTCTAAACTTTGTCATTCCATAGTGAGTTTTTATTCCTTTTTGAGTATAACACACTTATTTCAGTGCATATTTATTAGAATTTCTCAAGTTGGAAGGACCAGGTAATTAGAAGGCATAGTTATGGTTGAAGGCACTAGTCCAGTGGAGCTGCTAGACATGCAGACACACAAGTACATAATTACCATGATATTCTACAAGAGTTATTATTAAGTCCTATTTTTTAGAAACTTTACCTGACAGAAATAGGATGGCTTAACAGAGAAATGTCATATTTAAGCTGGATATTATGAGAACTCATCACCAGACAAGGGTGGGGTACAGAATTAAAGGTAGAAGCAAGAGTAGGCAAAGCTTGAGGCACAAAGTTATGAGATATTCAAGCAAAAGAGGGGATTCTAATTTTCCCATGGGAAGAAAGGATATGCTAGAAAAGGAATGTTTTTCTGAGTCTCAAATGATGAAAGAAAAATGCATGCATTTTGTTTCTGAAAAAGTGTCAATATCATTCAAAAAGTTTTACTGAGCTAGGCTCTATTTCCAACTGCCTCTTTAACCCTTTTGCCAAATACCCAACACATAAAATATGTGACTGACATCTGTATTAGTCTGGTTGCTGTAACAAAATATGATAAAATTGGGTAGCTTACAAACAATAAATTTTTATCTCACAGTTTTGGAGACTTGGAAGTCCAAAATCAAGCATGGGCAGATTTCATGTCTTACAAGACCACAGTATAAACTCAGGGTGAAAGTTTGACAAGACTCTAGAAAGAGGATGCTAGAAGGGAAGTACAAGCCAAAATTCACTTAGGATGGTTCTAGATAAAAATTCTCAGGATCCACAAGCTCAAACTCTCTCTGTATACTTCTTTAATGAGCAATTTCAAGGCTATCTCTATTTAACACTTGCTTGCTGTGTCCTTACATAATAGAGGGATAAGAGGTCTCTTGAGGGCTTCTTTTATAAGGGCACTAGTCCAATCAGGAGGGCTCCACCCCATGACCTAATCAAGGCTCAAGTGCCTACTACTATCACCTCTGGAATCAGACTTTCAACATAGACACTGCAACATTCAGTCCATTGTATAATTTCATAATTATCCTGTTAATCCCCCTTTTCATCTCTGGTTTGGTTGATGGTAATTTGTTCAGTAATCCCCAAAAGGAATCTCAGAGCCATTTAGAAATTTCTCCTAAATCCCACTTAAAATTACCCACCAATCTCCCTTAAGTCCATTTCTTTCTTTTCATTACAATTTCTACTATACATTTGGTCCTCATGGTTTCTCTCTTTAACTAGTTAATTTTCTTCCTGAATGATTTTTCAGCTAATAAGTACTGAAACAGGAATTTGTCCTTCTGTCTAGCTCTAGATTCTTTTCTCTTTATCCACTATACTCTAGAGAATCACCTTACTATGAACCAGCACAGTATAAAGTCAGGGTGAAAGTTTAACAAGACTCTAGAAAGAGGATACTAGAAGGGAAGTATAAGCCAAAATTCACTTAGGATGGTTCTAGATAAAAATTCTCAGGATCCACAAGCTCAAACCCTCTCTATATACTACTTTAATGAGCAATTTCAAGGTTATCTCTATTTAGCTCCAAGTCACAGAACAGTCTGTCCCATCTTCCAGGAAAGCCTTTATATGCTTCTACACACCTGACAACGAATCAAATTGCCAAAAGATTCAGTGATAGAAAAACATTATTCCATATCATACACAAGGTGTAATTTCTATGTCCTTATTTCCTGGCCTCTGACCTGCCTCTTGCTAGGAAAACAGAATATCCACGTGTGTGTGTGTGTGTGTGTGTGTGTGTATGAGAGAGAGAAAGAGAGAGACTGTATTTAATGTCAGTAGAGGAGTTGATGTGGTGAGGCTGTTGACAAAGAATAAAAAAAGACAAAATAATAAGCCAATGTAAGTCAGGTAGAATCTTTGCTTCCATTCTATGAGTCATGAGGTACTGATGAGAAGCAGCATGCTTTATAAGAAACTTTGTTCTTGATGGCTGTTCAGGAAATATTCACTAAGGAAAAAAGTAACAAAATATTTTTGTCAAATGAATTTCAATATCACTCCATATAATATTTTGGTTGTCTATGGAAAACATTATAAAGTGTAAATGAGCTTTCCATTATGGTACAAAAGTTGTTAAGTGTAAGCCAATAAACCATTAATACAAAGAATCTTCTATACCTTATTCATTTTAAATTTCTACTTGTTATTTATGTTTCTATTTGCATTAACCCATTATGTTTCACTGTCCTACATAAAGGACACATATAAAAACCTATAAAACTTTATAGGACATTTATATATAGGATGATGGGACATAATGTGTTGAGGAAATGTGTTGTCACATCTGAAAACCTCAGTCCTCACCATTTGTATAGCAGCTATTTTACCTCAGTGTTCAAGTTACTTGCCATGGGAAAAGCCTATTGTTTTTCACAACTAAAATATAAGTGCTGGTTGATAAAATGACACACAGAGACAAAATATCATAATTTTAAGGTAACATTTTAATGATAAGTGGATATAAAATGACTCATAAA